TGTGTGTGTGTGTGTGTGTGAGTAGGCACATACATGCTATGTATGTATATGTAATAATATGTCTAATACATAAACATCAGGCAGACATACAATCATGAAATGACAACTTATTTACTAGTCAGAGAACAACAACAAACAAATAAACAAACAACAACGACCACGATGATCTTTAGCTTCACGTTTACCACTACAATTACAAAAACAATGATAGATTGTCTTGCTTGGTTTTTTTGTGGTTGGTTTTTATCAAATCTTCATAATTACCTACAAAATCAAAGGCGCACACTCATACATACAAACAAAGTTATCTTGCCGCCGACATACACTTATACAATGAAATTATGTATATACTATAGATCAAGAAGTATCGGGCATTTAGAGTTAATGCTACTGAAAAATATAGATCCGACATCTTCGGAGAGAACTGGTTTCGCCTAGAACAGTTAGTTCTGCCGTAAATTGGCTTTCACGATCTTTTTTCCTATAGATTACAAAATCACCCAAACAATCTCTTCACTATGAAATCACCGAGAAGTTGGAAAAGGCTTGCAAAAGTAAAGTCCTCTCAAGAACATGGCTGCACTAATAGCGTAAAGTTTATCCTGAAAGTAAATAGTAAACGCGAGCGGATTAAAAACTTGCCCGACCCTAGCCGACTAGCATCCTGATCCCATAAGTACAATATGCAAATAAGAGATATGATGTCAAAAAATTTTCTTTTAAGCTCGAAGGAGACAACTCAGATCATTCCTTCACTGCGTTAAAAATATTTTGTAATTATGTGTCTAGGACTCGTTGCATACAATCTTGAGCGGGATAGCTCCTGCGTAAAGCGATTGACTAAAGAGTCTTTGAATTGATTGACACCACGGAGGAGACTTCAAAGATGTACTTTGAAAAAAATGTGGGGAAGCGCTTGAAAAAGTAGTTCTTTTACGATTAAGCAAAAAAAAAAAAAAAAAATGGGTCATCTTGAATAAATCCCAAGACTTTTTCGCGTACATATCTACACTTGTCTACACCAACCGGTAAAAGGTTCCCTATCATATCACTTTTTTTTTTGTTTTCGCTTTTGTTTTCTTTTACGGATTTTAATGCAATTTAATGCAGTTTTGTTTGGTCTCAGCATATATGTATAAATATAGCAACAGCTGCAGCCGCGCTAGCAATGGCAACAACAGTTTTAACAAGCACGTACGTGCACATGGCAAATGTAATGTAGACGAAAGAAGGCAAGAAAAAAAGAAGAAAAAAGTTGTTCAGGAAATCATCTTTTAACCTGTTTGTGCCGATAGCATTCTCTCATTGTCATGACTTGTTAAAGTGTAATGCCCTGTTTTTCAGTTTTTCTGTTATTTTTTTTCTTCTTCTTCTTTTTTGTTTTTATAAATGTCGCTATATTTATCTTACTTCTCTTTGAAATGCGTTTGGACGATTTAGAAAAACAAAACGCACAGACACACATTCGCAGACATTCACATTAAATGCTATTAGTATTAGAGTCGTGATCCAGAGAAAGTAAAAACACGCACAAAAATTGTTTGATTTGCTACATTTTTCCGGTTTAACGATTTCAATTAATGCTAGCACGCGTTTGTAACCATCTAGTGACAACGTAAAGTTCAATACTATTAATGCTCGTAAATATTGTATAATTAAATGCGATTTATTGATTGTATGCTTGTTTGCATTTCATCAATAGCAGTATTTAGGGAAATTGAAAAATGAAATAATAACAAATAACCGATAAGAAGAAGTAAAGTTTCTACAAGCCAATGACGAACCGGTCGCCTCTTAGGTTGAAATAAACAGAGCAATGTACGCGTGAATATAGGCAGATACAGGCAGATAGATGAAAGGGCGGACAGATGCTCGAACGACTGAGTAGAAAAATTGATTGTAAGGCGTATGAATGATTGCCAGATAGGCGGATGGGTGGAAGGATGAAAACTTCCTTACACGTTGGTTGATAGGGTACCGACATAGGAATAGACTGCAGTAAGCTTAATCGCAAACATGGGCAGAGGATGAAAGGACGGCCATTTGTATTAGTTTACTCGCATCATAGTGCATCCGAAACACGTCTTAAACAGTTTTGGATAATAGGATTGAATACCTTCGAGAAGTTGAATAGTTTAGAGTCTACTTTGTAATAAGGAATGAAATAAGGAAATAATACTGAGTGTATAGGAGTAAAAAAAAAAACAAAAATGCCAAATAGGTAACTAGAAGATAAAGTAACATGTGAGAAAGAGCTAAACATCTTGAGGTAACAAGAATGCTTAAACGATTCTCGGATTTCGATCTGTGTTCTCTACACAATTCCTATATATATCTGTGAACGAAGTGTTCTAATATACATTTTGTTTTTTAAAGAGAGCATACCACAGTGCAGGAAGCATCGAAGATCTTATAAGATATAAGTTCCAAGGAAAAGTGTTGTAGAAATTTTGTATTTGTACATGTGCGCCTGAATGCAAATGAGCAGAGGCTTTCCAAATAACATATTTACACAAACATGTAGATAACTTTGTTAACTGTTTGCAGCTTCAGTTTTCGTCCTTTAAACGTTATTTTAGCGAACTTCCATTTTCAAATGGATGCAAATGCCAAGAAACACAATTTAAGGTGAAGCTTGTTTATGTAGATAATGCTTTGAGGTTGTGAGGAAGAATTCAGCAGGGAGAAAGATAAGTTCGCAAATATGTTTAAATTCAATCATTACCGACTTTGATTAAGTATTTGAAGATTCTGTGGTGTGTCCAATAGGTACTTCAAACATTGCCTGCTTTAGTTAGAAACTACTAAAGAATCATTTTGTCGTTTTGTTTAAAAACACACTTTTTTAATAATGAGATGACCTATGAACTCTGAACTTCATCAACTTCAAAGAGTTATTTAAACTAAGCTTAAAGTAGAAATTATAAACTTCAACCATTGGGTTTAAGCAAAGCAAAACAATCATTGACAAGTTACTACCTTATCGCAGTGAAAATGCGAAATGAAATGAAATGAAATGAGGAAAAGAAAAATTGATAAAAAATAAATTAGGAAAAAAAGAAAAAATTGAAAACATTGTTGAATCATGTTTTATAATAAAATGCATATATAAAATATATAATTAATGTTTGTGTAGCTCTGTTTTTTTCTATTTTATTTCCTTAGGAAGTGTTTAGAGGCAGTTTCAAAACTTTTGCTGTCAATTGTCTGGCAAACATTTTCGTTTGTCAAATGCGATAAAAAAACGTCATACAGCTTAGTTCCTCCATATGCATATTAATGCTTAATTATCATCAAAAGAAAGGTTTTTCAAATTAAAAGACTTAAGCGCAAAACTCGATTTTTTTTTTTTAGAGAAGACATTTACTACAATAATCTACACGAAAGTATTAAGCAAAGGACATTCATTTTCATAGCGTTATTAATGAAGGCTTTCACTGGCTTTAATGATGCCATGAATTTTAATATAATAAATATCTTGAGATTTTTTTTTCATCTATAATTGTTTTCGTTGCAATTAAATGGGTTTATGAGAAAATTTTTTCTTTTTTTTTTTGTATTTCTCAATCGATTTCTAAAGAATCAATTTATCGATTCATATATTCAACCTGAATATTAAATTTTTGGCGTAACATATGTAAATATTCACCTTATATACGGATGTATATCTAAATACAAGAGAATTTCATAATAAAATTGAATAAAAAGGAAAGATACAAAAGTGCATGTGAAGAATAGTTTGACGACGAAGTAAACGACATGCTTACTAAGCGAGTAAGCGAACTGAAAGAGCACATCGTCGTCATAATAAAAACAAATAAGAACTTGTACCAAACGAACGAAGCATTGGCTCAGTTCAAGACAGCAGACGACAACAGCACCAGAAAACAATAAGAAAAACAAAAAGGCAAAAAAGAAACCAAAGAAAAAAAAAAACAGAACCATATGTGTGTCACTTGTTAAAGCATTTATGCAAAATATACTTAAAACAGATTGACAAAAAAAATTTAAAAAAAAATCGCAGAAGAAAAGCGCGAACACACAATTTAACATAAATGAATGCGTTAATAAATAAAAATATAACTAAAGAAATTAAAATTTATTCACAAAAAAGCCAAAAAAAAAAAAAAAAAAACAAACAATCCTCGTCGCACCATTTTTAGCTGAATTAGAAATTCGATGGTTTACCTTAATATCATTGTTGTTGTTGTTGAACAACTTGTCCGAATGGCAATGATGATACTTTTTTGTATAGAATGCAAAGTCACAAAAAACAAATAGCAGTCGTAGTCGCAGTAGTCGCAGTAGCAGTAGAGCAGCGGTCTTAGTAAAACTTAATCCAATTATGGCAGCAATCGGTGATTGTTGTTGATTAATTCTTTCAAATTAATTTAATTAAATAATTCTAAAGAATTCTTAATTAATTAAAATAAATATTTTTTTTTTTCTAATTATTTTCAGTTCACACTCGAAGTTTGTTTCTTAAATCTTTTTATTTTTATTTTTCTTCTTCTTCTTTTTCTCTTTCAATTTTATTTAGATTTATTTTTATTTATTCAGAAAGAATTTCTCTCTAACACTTTTTTATTACTCTACTTTTATTACACACTTTCTAAGCTAATCGTTGGGTTTTTCATTTCATTTCAATTTATTTCACTTTTAATTTAATTCATTTTCTAGGTCAGCATTTCTTACAAGAGCGAGCACTTCATCTTTTCTTTCTTTCAATTAATTCTAAATATTTTTTAAAATTTTTTTTAGATAAAAAAAAAAAAAAAAACAGAAACAGCAAGAAAAAATTTCGTCGTCGTACACAACTATATAGACAGCTTTTGCTTTATATAACTTACAAGTGTTAACTTTCACACGTTTTCAGTACTACGAGTACTGTTAAAAGCCGCATTTACAACCACCGTAGCGTGTGTCCAACAATTAACTGTCTGCTTAGGCCAAATGTTGTTTAAGAAAAACCAAAGTTGAAGCTCACGTTCACTTGTGCAGACACACGACGACGACTCAGTCAATTCAGTGTGGTTCAGTCAGTCAAGTCAGTCAGTCATTCATTCGAGTAAATAACGACAGCCCGGGCTTTTATTAACCGCACATTCATATTCGTGCCTCCGTCTGTTTACATCGTCGCCTTAAGCGTTAACGTTAACGCTTTAAACTTTTGCGTTAACAAAAGAGAGCAAAAGTTGTTTGATTTTTTTTTTTTTTTTTTTCTACAGAGATTTTACTTACGTACGCTGTTAGTTGACAAAACTTTAGTTTAGGTTTTTAGATGTATTGAGTGAGGTTTTGTGAGTTCAAGAGTTATTAATAAAAGCAAAAGTAATTTTTTTTTTTTTTTAAATGAGTTAAACTCAGTTATTATGTATAGTTGAACAGTTTTTAAGCATAAATATGTTGAAAATTTTTAAATTTTTACAAACAAACATCCAATTAAACAATTTTAAGCGGAGAGTCGATAGTCTACCTAAGAATAACGTTGCTTATGTGAGAGCGCAACAACAACAAAATATTGAATAAAAACTAATTTTCCCATCTATTATAGTTAGTTAAACCCGTGTCCCACTTAAATCCTATCATCAATGAAATACATCTACGTCAATGCCGAACAGGAACAGGTTGAGTTCATTTTTGCTTTTTTTGCCACATCTATTACGCTTGGCTTGATACAAAACAATTGTTAAATTTCTTATTTCATAAATTTTATTATCTTTTGGGAATAAGTTTGTACAGTTAGAAATGCGAAAATAATCCAAATTGATTGTTTATTAAATCCGCCGTAAGTGGTGGAATGCGTTTCTATACCCATTACCGAAGGATGAGATTGGATAAGCGGTGCTAATTTTCCCCATTTTGCTGTACAGGTGCTACAACGTCGCCCATAGAATATGTGTTCAAATTTTTGCACATTTATCTGCTATAGTTTACGAGAAATGAGCAAAAAACCAATTTTTTATTATTTATTGAAAAGCGGAGGTGTTCTCAGTTTGCAATACTTTCAATACTTTCTCAGATTTGAAGTCGATAGGTTTATTTTTGCGGCCAAGAGGATGTTCGCAACAGAGACGGATAGATGCACCGAGGGACACTCTTTGATGCCAATCAAGCACATATATACATTGTGGCGTCTTCTTCCAGACGTTGCAAACGTTTTCACAATGTGGACACATCCCCCATCTTTCGGTGGTGGGTATAAAATTGGAAAAAATCAGCCGATATTTAGTGGTCAGCGAAGTTATAAATTTCCTTATTTTTAATATTTTATAGGATAACGGTTATGGGTATAGGACATTCGACCGCTTTCGGATATAACTTGTTTACTTAGCTTCCTTTTGAAAAAATTCAAAGGACAAACACATTTTCACTGAAGGAATTTCAACATTCTATTGTAACTCTATTAAAATTCTTAAATATTGCAATCCGTCACTAGGACATACGGTCGTCAATAATTGGGAAAATTTTGACGAAACAAATATTCTAGATTCTCGAGGTATTTCCCTTACTTGCTTTAACGTAACATGGTTTCTCTCGACATCACTTCGTGCTCATTCCAAAAATGGTAGATGGAGAAGAATACGAACTCTTCCACTTAGTAGAGGAAGGCCTTATCGAAGAGCGTAGAGCCGTAAGTAGCAAAAAATATTGTGACCGTGTACTATTCGTTATTGGACAGGGCTGATAACCATAGGCGAAATCATATTCGATCATGATAGCAAGTAGTCGGAAAGATTTTTAGGCTTTAGTTAATAATGTACCTTAGAGATAAAATAAAATCATGAGATTGTTAAAGAAAAAAAAGCATGTGATCGCTTATATCCAGCAATAGATTTGTAATAAAATAAGAAGAAGAGTACTGCATCGAAAGTGTACATTGAGATTAACTCTGCGGAGGCCTGAAGTTCGCATTTTTGGCTTGTAGAGTATGTTCTCCACACCCATTGTGAATGGATGCCAATTTTATTATGAGTGGAGTCCACTTTTTCTTTTCATTAATTTTCTGACGAGATCGAGATGTTAAAACTCTGCAGTATTTCTTATCATTTTATGTCAACTTTAGTTAATATTCTACGATATTTAGAGCTCGGATATTAGTTCGTTTTCATCATAACTGAACAACACTTGGATCGTATTCTGCTACTGCTGCCATCCTTCCGCCATCATAACGGTTTTTAACCAAAACAATATACACCGTCGTTCAATTGTCCCTACACCGTCATACCTACTTTAGTACTGTGATACAGAAACCTACTATAATTTTTTTTTTAAAATAAGTTCAAGGTCATAATAGTTAAGATAATCAGATTGAAACTAAATGTCTTTGTCTTACAAGAGGGTTTTTTTTGTTTTTTTTGTTTTTTTTTTTTTTTTGATATTTGAGAGCACATAGATGAATGTGATGAACAATATGAAAAAAGATGAGAAAAGTCCGAATTGGGAAAGTGTAACTGAGAAACGAAAAAGTAGGTGACAACAGTCAAGAATTCGTGTCATTTTTATCTTCTACCATTGTCTGCATATTGCGAGGTTTGCCTAACGCAGTTAGCTTTCTTGGTCAAAGTTCCAATGCTTACTCATTCATTGCCGCTCTAAAACACGGTATGTTTGATAAAGACACAATAACTGCTAAGTCAATTTGTTCGTAGGCACGACGTGTACACTAAAATTTCATTGCAACGTCCTTACAACTATCAGAGCTCTTGCAAAGCTGTGTTTAATATCATAATGCGAATACGGCAATTTCAAATTCAGTCGTATAGTTCTTGTTAAGTGTAGCTAAACGCGCTAACCAAGCTGCAATTGAGTTCATATTTATTTCCCACAATAATTTCCTTATCTCTCTTGTATAGTTGACCACCTGCTTTTATTATATTTCTTAAAGCTCTTTTATTGCATGCATGAAATTTATACTTTGTTTTACACCTTCCACCAATGCAAAAAAAAAAATAAAAAAACACAAATGTACACGTATACATACGGTATTGTATTCCACTGATAACAAGAGCAATAGTCACACGCCATTTACGTGTATGCATGCATATGAAGTGAGATTACTTAATACTGATAATAATTGTATTGGCAGTAAAAACATACATACATATATATATATATATATATGTACGTATGTATGTATGTGTGCATGCATGCATGCATATATGTATGCATGCATTTCTCATAACGCAAAGCGCAAAATATATAGTAAAATTTATTTTTTCAATTTTTTTCTTTCATTATTAATGAAAAGTAAAAACATTAATAATTTATTATTAGTTTTTTATCCTAAATTATGACATCAAGTTAGCGGCTTAAGTCATTTTCAATTCATTCAATATATCTTCCAATCAGAACAGCAGCCAAAACAAGGACCATTTATTGCTGCCGTTTTTTCTCCATAAATTTTATTGATTTGTGGTGATTTACGAAATCGATACGAAATCTTAAGTCTTGTCAATAAATTCTTTGAACTATAATTGAGGCAAATTGTTGTTGCTGCTGTCGTTGCCATTACTGCTTTTTTTCCTACAGGTAGATCTTGCTTAAATGATGTAAAGCAATTAATTTTTTTTTTTTTTTTTTAATAACTCGTCTGTTGGCAAAGAAACCGAAACGGTAGTTCAGCTTTACATATGCATTAGTCAGAACTTCCGTTTGCCTTCTACATAGGCGTAATATTACGCACCTTTAAAAAAACAAAAAAACCTATGATCTAAATATTATAAAAATATTTATTGATAGTTGCTTATTAGTAGCTTAGAAGTAGAGAGAAAAGAAAAAAACACACGTTGGCGGCCAAATAAAAACTACATAAATAAAAATGAACATAAATAAATAATAATAAAAAATAATTTAAAACAGGAGCAAGATATGATTTTAAATCTCAGACAATCAAAATAAACCGTCTGACCGTTAATAGGCAAAAAAAAAAAAATAAAAAACTTGATTTCTTTTTATTACACTTTTTTATAGGCAAACGTTGCTCGCATATGTGAATGAATGGCTTTGCTAAAGAAAAAAAGAAACGACATAAACGCTTTAGCACTGAATTTTTAGCAGCTTGTGAGGGAAACTTCAAATGGTGCAAAAGTAACGGAAAGTGAAAGAGATTAACACGGCGTGGATATGCAAATGAAAAATTTATATAAAATAAATAATTGCTTCGAAAAGCTTAAAAAAACTTAATTAAGTTGACAAAAGACGAAAAGACGGAAAAAGAAAAATTTTAAATATTTTTATTTCGCGTGATTGAAAAACGCAAATTTATTATACCACTTGTACTCCAACAGTTATCCGCACTATCAGCCATCTCATGGCATTATTATTAGGTTAACTTGGAAAAGAATGTAATGTTGGCCAAGAGTTGCTCTGAAATATATCTACAACAGCTTCCGTTAACCTCAATTTCATCCCTATAACAATTGTTGTACGGGCGATGTTAAGTCTGTGCGTTTGACGTACGCAACACTCAGAAGGACTTATCCGATC